CAGTCTGGTGTGTGGTTCCTGTACCCTGAGTTCCCAGTAAAGGGTCTGGGCTGCTGCAGTTCTTACTGGGAATGAGGCTCTGTCTGATAATAAATGTAAATATTCATGAAGAGAAAGAACAACCTCATGACCAATTTGAGTGCTGTTCTAGAACATAAACGGTCGTTTTCCTAAAGTTATAAGTATACATTGCACTTTTGAGTACAAAATCTTTTAATAGGTATTAAAATACCGATTCATCCAAAAAATACAAATGAAAAAATAAACATTTTCACACAACTTGTTCTCACAGATATCTTATGTAATATCATAAAACAAACCTCAGGGACCTTTCAGCCCAGTCCACGTTACAGAACATTATTATAATAATAATAATAAACTTTATTTTATACAGCGCCTTTAAAGGTGGCTTCTCAAAGCACTTGAGAAGCGCTTTCTGATTATAATCAACATTCCTGATTATAATCATTATATCTAATTATAATAGAGATATTTTGATTTTTCCCCAATGTGTGATTGTCATCTGTGGGTATTAAGGCATTTAATGTCTTCCTGTTGGATTCTGAAGGTATTTTCTCCTGTACTCTTTTAAAAAAACAATGTTCATTTTTTATATTTTTTATTTATTTATATATTTATAAATATTTTGCTGTGTCCTTGGAACCAAATCACACTATTCACATTTTTTGCGACCTTCATTTTAATCTTTTCACTCCCTGCTCTGGAGAAAAAAAGTACAAACAAAGGGCCCTCTCAGCTCTAGGTTCCTTCTCAATATTAATTTGTGACAGTTTTAAATTGTCCAGTTAAGTCCTCAAGAATTTTAATCCACTTTCCCCATTCACTGCATGCTATACAAAGTAACAAATGATTAGTGTTGTCCACTGAGGGAATTCAAAGCTGCAAAGCCCGAGTGTTAATAAAGACTCTCAACAGGGGCGCCTTTGTTGTCAAGATCCTTCACCAACAGAATGCAGCTGTGTGTTGGACATATAAAAGTGGCTTTTATGTTGTACTCTCAACATAAAACACATCTTCTTTAGCATCAGTACTTGTCTCAGGCACTTGTACTCAAACAACCTCTTCTGAACTAATGGTAGCACTTAGTGAAGCAGATTGTTTGACACGCAATGCTTTCAACGGAAATATGACTGATAAAATTGCATTATGTGAACGCGACTAAAGATGCAAGATGTTCCTTCTTTGTTTGTGTGGCTTGTCTCCAGGCAAGGACAAGTCTGAATTTACTGGTAAAAGAAGCCGTGCTACTCAACAAGGAAGGCAGAAGTAACCTTTCGTTTGCACACCCTGCTCTACACAGCCCTGGAGGAGGTATTGTGAGCCACCTCTTTTTTCTTTTTTTCCCCCAAGGCACAGACAGGGTGCACGAGCGGACACACAGAGCCCTCTGGCTGGTCTGTCTAAACCTCAGCCTTACTTCTCTCCAACCTCGGCTAACGACCTGCGCCCCCTCGGTGAGAAAGCGTTTGTCAAACCTGTTCGTTTTACATGTGCATTGCCGGCCTTTACTTCTCTGTCCTCCGGGCAAACTTGTGCATCCATCGCTTGCCCAGAGGCAAACCTGGGCCAGGGGGCAGCGAGCTGTCACCTCCCCTCCACCTCCACTGGGAAAGAGGCAGAGGCTGAGAAGGCCAACTCGAATACACTGTAAGGATAAAAGAACGTCAAGAATAATTCTTTGCATTCGTACAGCACTTTTCATTGCAAAGGATCCCAAAGCACCTCTCCAAATTGCAGAGCAGCACCTTCCTGGGGTCATGCACATTGGCGCTTCGGCGTCAGCAGTCCCACTACACAGCAGAGCAGGCGGAGAAGGCTTCATTAAACCAATTAAAGGGATGTCAGATTGAGTAAACCCACAGTGGAAAAGACACCCTAACAGTGCTGTGGGATCGTTATAGTACAAGTAGTCAGGGCTCCAGTTTAACATTGACATGAAAGGAAAAACCTACAGCACAGTACCCCTTTTACCATACTGGGGCATTGTTGTTGAAATTCTGGTCTTGAGGGAAAACCACCGCCTACTGGTCCACCAACAGAGGTGTCATCCCGGCGTCCTGGCCAAATTTTCCATTGGCCTTTACCAATCAAGGCCTCCTAATAATCCCCATCTATGAATGGGCTTCATCACTCTGTTCTCCTCCCCACTGATAGCTGGTGTGTGGTGAGGTACTGGTGCACTATGGCTGCCGTCGCATCATCCAGGTGGGGGCTGCACATTGGTGGTGAAAGGGAGTCCCCATTACCTGTAAAGCACTTTGAGTGGAGTGTCCAGAAAAGCGCTACATACTTGTAAGCAATTATTATTATCATTAACACAACAGCACCCTCATTTTCCTTAGATTTCTCCCCTTCCAGTACTAATCAGCACTGTTTAGGGAGTAATGCGATCTCATCAGATCAGGCAAGAAGGTGGTAATGCTGCTGAAAGTGAGTCCCAGTTGTTCTGAGAGTTGAGGTGATTCTGGAAAGTCCAATATTGGGGTTGTTATTACTGAGTGTATTATGCTGGCTGTCGTAAGTGCAAAGGAGTTCCCTAACTGAGCTATTGGCTTTCTTGATTACAGACAAGAATCCCACGTCAGCAGTACACTGAAGCACAGAAAGTACTTGCCAGTTACATTTAATTTCCACTACCTGACATCTGCACGCGATATACACACATATCTATCAAACATTACCATATTTCAAGATCTTAAAAATCCTAGACCTCCTGTGCCCAGGAGCACCTAAAACAGACCCAAAAATCCATCTCAGATGAGTATTCAGATTATCCAGAGATGCCTTTTTCACTGTAATATTGCATTTTGTGCTTGATCTGCAACACCCCTCAGTGCTTTAATGTGGTTACATTGCATTTAATTCTTCCATTGATCTCATCCAGATTTTGGATGTGTATGCGATTTAAAGACAGAAAGCAAGCCCTTTGTTTTTAACGTGGCCACATATAAAACATTTTGGTGTCCCTTTGATGTCAGTCACACGTGAGGTGTGGACGTCTGATCTTGGAACCGGCTTAATGAGAGGGCCTGCACACAAACACATGAGTATTGGCAGTCTTTGCAAAAGCCATTTGTATTGATCCAACAGATGTGTGGAGTCTTCAGTGTGGAGGCAGACAACGGCCTTGTCTTTGTGGTCTGAGACATGTTTTCAGAGCTGCAGAAGATAACATCCATTTTTGCTCTTGTGGCGCATGGTGCAACTAGAGTAATACAGCACTTACAGGCTGTCAGATACAGAGCTGTTTCTTTAACTGGAAACAGTACAAGGAGTGAAAGCAGAGCTGGAATACGGGTGAAAATGGATTTGGAACAATTTGGCAATTCTCGGGAGAAACTCAATTGACCGTGAAACCTATAAATAGCAAATGCATTACCATAATTGAAGCTTCACCTTGGATGCTCTTGGAAATTGCTCTGAGGGTCTCTAGAACAAAATCAATAAAGTAAAATAAGGTATGCAGAAACATGGATGTTTTTCAAAGCAATGATACATTGTGATTTATTGTGCTTGGATCACTATCCCTTTCAAGGGATAGCTTCGGAGAAGAAGCAATGTGCTCATTATCCCTGGACTTCCACAATTTTCAGCTTCCAGGTCTGCCAGCAAAGATTAAGGAAATAGAAATACAGTACTGTATTTACTACACTGTGATCCAGGTTATGTCTAAGTGTAGAACAATTATAAATGTGACTTAATGCCAGGTGCCAGAACCAATTAATGTTTTCTTTTAGCATCTCTAATTAAAGATGAGTGTCCGAGAAAATGTAGAGTGGTACATTGTTTCTAATTGAATGTATTTTTCTTCTGCAAGTGCTTTGGAGTGAATATCAGGTGTGACTAGGATGGTAAAAAAGCTATTAATGGAAATGCCAGCCACTTGAGCAGCCTGCAAGCTGGTTTTGAGACATCACTGCAGCTGGGGATAATCGACAACAGATTTGGGGATCTATCACTCTGACCACTGGCCACAAGACATTTGCAGTTAAGTCTAAAAATGCATAACTCATATCTAAAAGAAATGTTTTGAAAGCTTCGCAGTACCAACTAAGCAAAGATACATTAAGTTTACAATACACATGCTTGTTGAACGGTTTTCCGACGAACTAACCATTTGTGAACTTCTGAAGCCATTAATCTCTGTCAGAAGACAATGTTTTAAGAATTGTAGTTATCTGGCTACACACTGCTGTGATGCAAATATCTTAATATTAATTAGGTTTGAATGGAATTATGCTGACTTCCACCTTCCTACACAGAAGCACCATGATTCTATGCATGTTCCATTTTCAAATCTCTCCCTCTCTCCCATCTTCGCTTTTGGCAGCGGCTCCCTGGCTCATTCCTCATAGAGAGGGATTGGGGGATTTCCACAGCATCGTCTACAACCAAGTGAGTTGTAAGCAAAGCAAAGCAAAGCAATTCAAATTATACCTCTACTCTGTCTTAAAGAATTTCCTTCTGTGGGTAAAAAATAACAAAAGTCCTAAAGTGCAGGAAACTTTATTGTAAATACACACATAATTCAACATCATATGATTGTATAGGCACTGTTGTATTGGCCAAGCAAAAGTCACAGGCTGGGAATGCTTTAGGAATTTTACACAAAGATACATTTCCACATGATAAGATTATAATCTAGAGCAGCTCCCAGAACAAGGTAGCGTTTTTGCCATCGTGACGTTGCCCCATCTCATCCGGGAAATCGTATTCGTCCACATGCAAGCATGCTTACCAGGATTTGATGTTTTTCAGTTGAAAACAAATTTTCAATGTTATGTCGGAAGCTTCCAAGATATGTTTTGCTAAGGAAAGGCAAGAGAAAACTAAACAGAAAAAAAAAACAAGTAAACATCTATCCCTGCTGTGTTATCTGAGCTTCGCAGTCAGGTACCTTGGGCAGCTGAAAAACCCGATTTATTTCAGAGGAGGTCGTTATAGCAACAACACCATAAAGGAAAAAAAGATAATTGGCTCCTTAATAAACATCCTTTTGTGTCTCGCGGGAGTATACAGTAGAATAGACCCTGGCAAAAGATGGATGTTACATATAAAACCTCTATTATTAACCAGTAATGCAGGAAACTAAATCTGACTGCTTCATAAAAAATATTACAAATTGAAATGAGTAAAAGTCAAGGTCCAACCGATCACAGAGAGAGCAGTGATCCATGTTTGAAGTCTTAATGAAAGAAAATGTAAGACCCTGTGATACACAGTAGAATGAGTTTGGTGACTCTGTCACACTAAACAAATGCATTTTGGTAAAATTTCACAAGGGCACAGAGCCTGACTGCATTGCCACTGTTGACAATTAATGAGCCTGAAACTAGTACTTAATCTAAGGAAGTTAAAATAAACTGGTTTTATTCTGTAAGAGCTATGAGATGCTGATGCCGGAGTGTTTCACTTCAATGGTTTCGGAAAACAGGATACTTTTGGTTATCTGATTGGCTGCATTTCTACATATCAGCGCCTAAGTCCAGATAAAACTGCACCTGAAAAATACCCTGTTCCTCCCAGGAAAACCAGTTGTAGAGCAGATAAGCTTTCAAGACTTGATATTTGTCACTTGGGTACACTACCGCTCTGAAGAACGCCAATGTGGTTGATAATGTCCTAGTGCCACAGAAAGGAATTCCAGCATCGCCAGACTCTGAAACTCACATGACTGTAGCGTTTCTCAGAGGTCATGATGTCCAGTTACATCTGCCTGTTTCCCAGCTCTAAATTTTTCCTTTGTGTCCTCCGTCTCTTGACCGTTTTCTGTTTAAAATCCATTCATTTTCTAACCACTTTGTCCAATACAAGGTTACAGGGTAGCCACGCTGATCTATCAACTACAGGGTAATGTGTTCAGCCTCCAATTTACATCACAAAAGAGATTAAGTTTCAAGTGCAATTTACTTGAACTCAACATATTGACTTTTTGCCAACAAATACTACTTAAAAACTCAGCATGCAGATTACATTTCGAACATTTCTAGAATGAATTGTCTGCTGCACAACTTGTACTTATTCAATCGCTAAATCTCATATAGAAACTTGTCGATGGGACTAACATCAGTGCCTGTGTTTATTACCGATCTCTTGGCTAGTTGAATACCCCTCAGAAAAGGAAACTTCCTGCTAATTTGATCCTCTGTGTTGTGTCCAGTCAAATGCTCAACAGTGAGGCATCATGAGTTCCAAAAGACAAAGGATCAATGTTGTTTGGAGACCATGTTTCTCATTTGTTCCCAGCGACTAGCGAGCAGGAAGGGCGGCTTTTATGTCTCAATTCACACAAGCTCGGTTTGTGACAACACGGCAACCGTACGGTACTTTCACAAAGTTCACAATTGTGTACCCAATTTGTAATTTGTCCAAATTTGCCATACCGTCAATGAAGTTATTTTGTTACCAAGATTTAATGATTCGTCTGAGAAATTGGGATCTGGGATTTAAATACCGCTATTTAACACGACGTTGTGTTGAGTTGTGTTGCCATTTCCGGCTGTTTGTGCTCCACTTCTCCCTGGCTGTCTTAAAGACACTGCAGCCAGCCCATCTCTAGCCTGAGCCCCTAATTCAGTTGTTCCCCGTCATGCCCTCTGCAGCCAGAGGGCGCTCCTTCTCTGTCCTGTCTCTCATTTCCGGTTCTTTGCTGTCCTACCGGTGTTTCTCTCTCTCTCTGGGGCTATATATTTCCGGGTCTTTCAGTCTGCCTTCGCTCGGATGTCCTGAGACCCGCCTAGCACCAGGTTGCCCCACTTCCGCTAGCTGAGGGCAAAGGTTTCTATACGGCATTCCCCTGACCGTCTCGCTGCTACGCATAGGGTCTTTTTGCTCTCCTGTCATTCCTCGGTTCGTCCTTTCTGACATCCGTGACATTCCCACTTTCTCACGGGCCTCACCTTCAAGCCTTTGCACCATTAACATTGCCTGGTTTGACACATTGCGGTCTGAAGTGAACCGCCATTTCCAAAAAGCAGAAAGCATATTGTTGCTGTGTTTTTTTCATGTGGGGTGGGTAAACTGTGTTACATTAAACACATCTGAAAGTCCCATCCAAAAAGTAAATTAAGAACAAGAAACAGATGCTGATCGCTGCTTCTTACACGTTTCTCAGTGGGAGTGAAGGTCTTCGATACCGTTTTATCATCTTAACTCAGTGTTAACCATTTATAAGGTGGAATAATAACTATGTTTACGCTAAAGTAGTACTACTGTGTATTGCACTGGTTTGTGAACCGGCACTTCATTTGCTACCAAGACCACATCTCCAAAAAAAAATCAAGCAAGGGAATTTCATTTTCTGTGTCAAAGTATCTTGTTTTGTCAGCTTCACTAATTCAGCTGCCTGTCTTTTCTGTCAGCTCCTTCCTTTTTAGGAATTAAGTGAAGTTTCAGTGACGCAAGAACTGCAGTGCTGTGTAAACCTGTACACTACACATGGGTGCAGATCCAATCAATACCCTACAAGATTTTGATATGCAGTGTGCAAACAAAAGCTAGGTGAAGGCAAACAAGTTGTATTTGAAGGAAATGCCTTCTTAAAATCCTAAGCAATATACAGTATCTATTGGACTAAAATTGATGTATTGACAAGCCTGCTTGTTTACAGTGTAATTGGGCTGCTTCACATCACTGGAAGTTCTGTTGCCTCGTTCTGAATCTCAGAAGATGGTGCTGTGCATACCCAGAAAAATCTTTTGTGGTGTAAGTTGGAGATTTTACAAGTTACTGTGTACATTTTACTTTTATTATGGTTTGTAATGCACTCATCAGTGCTGATTCTTTCTAACCCCAAAATATAAAAATAGCATTGTAGTTCCCCTTTAAGAATTAGTTGCTGTAAAATAAATTTTCCAAATATCTTGTCGCTATAATTTAGAACGTTTTCACTTAACTATAATTTCATTTAACTGCCACAGAAAACACAATGTTGATGTAAAATACAACATGTATTTGCAGTTTTCAAAAGAAACGTTCCATACAGGAGTCTGATTATTCTGCACACAGAATGATGTTGCTTTTTAATTGATTTTCCGGGCTTTTTAATGGATCAGAGTATTTGCTAACACCATCCGGTAAGTTTTATTGTTCTCTTTGTGGGCAACATCCCATTTACTCCACCTGGTCACTTTGGGTCAAACACTGCTCCAGTCAGGCTGAAAGTAAGGCAGAAAAGAGATGCGATTCGAACAGTGGCCGTCATCGGCTGAGGAGGTGGACAAACCATCCAGAAAGATGGCTCTGTCAGACCCCCTTCCTCTTGAAGGATGAGCTACTGCAGTAGCACAGACAGGGCGGAGGATGGTAGGCGAAAACGGAGTAAGCGAGAGGTGTGGTATTTCGAAGCTGGTAGGCGGATGTGGCAAGTTCCATACAGGATTCATTTTAGCAAAAATGCAAAATGCCTTCAGGAAGAAAAGGCATGATTCACGTGTGTGCCGATGTGGCAGGCTTTGTGTTGTAACAACGACATGAAAAGGTAATATACCATAATCTCCAGTGTACTCAACAAAAATGTTAAAAAGGCTTTGTGATCCTTGACTGTTATTTTTATACTGGTTCCTTAAGCCAAGAATCCAATGCTTAAACAATGGAAAGAGAGAATTTTCTGAAGGCGAAAAGGCTGTGAGTGTAAATGTCACTGAAAACAAAGACACCTGACAAAGTGCCCAGGGAGACAGTATATTGGGAGTGATGTGACCTTGTGCGAGAGCAGACAGGAGGAAATGAATAGGGCTGGTGGCCGTGTGCAGCTCCAATATTGTGCTGCTCCTCTCAATGTCATCCCCTCTGCAGGCTTATCTGCAGCGCGGCCTTGAGCAACAGAGAAACCGCTGGCTGCCTCAGCTCAGAACAGCAGCCAGTCTTTTAATGAGGGGCCCTCAAGAAACTGCCCCAGCCTCAGCCATTTCATTAGCGAGAGGTGTTTGGAGTGCAAGCATAACTTTTGCGGTTTTGTAGCCTCTACGGGACACTTTGTAATGAACTCAAATTGACAGGACTGCATTTCTGGAGACTGGCTAGTCCCTGCTCATTAACTCTCACTTTTATTTAGTGAACATAAAAGTGCAGCCTTGTTCACACTTTTACGGTGCAAGTGACTACAAAACTGTGTATTTTAAAAAACATTCCATGTATCTAGGAATACAAGGCGATTCTTTCTAAATGTTATGAGACAGTGTTAGTCTGTAATTAGATCTCCAAGTTACTTCTATCCTTAAACCCTGTTACTGGTCAGACATTACCTTCATAGGCACAGATATATCATATATCATACACTTAAAGTCATAGCCTTTCATCTTCTGCATATAGTCTTTCATCTGGTGTATTTAGTAGATATACCATTATATTTGAGATATAGTAGTATGCATAACAGAAAAACCATTACACTTGCCTAACACAACCAGTTATTTTCATTTCATTCAAGTTCTATTTGCGAGGATTATTTCAACACTTTTTTTCTCAGGAACCCACCTCCAAAATGTCCACCAACTGACCTACTTAAGATTACTGAACTCCAAATCCTGCTGCTCACCTTTAAGGGCTTGAACTGGAGCTGAACCGACTCCTGAGCACACCAGTGAAGTGTCACCCTTCCAATACACCTACAGAGTTCGAAGAGAGCCAACGACATGGCCTTTTTTCTCAACAGGAGTCTCTAAACTCTCGACTTGGTCATTTTCTGTTTTGTGGTTCCAAGACTGCGGAATGATATTCCATGTCATACCAAATTGTCTTTGAATTCAATTTTAAACTAACTGCTTTAAAGTACTGTGCTAATTTCTGTACACCTCTTTTTACTGTATACTGAGATCACATACAACCAAAGGATCTACGTGAATATTTTTAAAAGAAGAAAAAAATAACTGAGGATGCTGCAATGAGTGCTGCTATTGCAATAAATTCACACTTTTTTCACCCCGAGGTACACGTTTTCTGCTGTGCCTCTCATCTCTCCCAACTCTCACAAGTTCCGGCCTCACAGCAGAAGCTTCACATTTCAGGTAAATTTCCAGTGACATTTCTGTTTTTCTCTTCCCTACATTCTCAGTTCACTAAGGCTCAAAGTTGTGCAGGCTGAGACAGGTTTGTTTTGTCCAAGATGGAATGCTGCAGCTGGAAAACGGAGACCTGCCTAATTGATATGTCTGCCTACCTGCTAAGACCGCCCTGAAAGGAAAAAAAAAAGCTCAGGATTATTTCCTTCACACGGTTCGTCGAGCACAATTTGGTGCTCAGAATGGTATTGGGGGGTGGCTTATCCAAAGTTCATGTGAGGAAAAACACAAGAGACTTTTCGGTGTAATTCATTCTTTTAATCCTGGGAATGTATCTGGTTGCTCTTTGCTGTACTGAGACAGAAATACTGTACACGCATTGTATTACTTTGTCAACCACTGCAACTGGTTTTAACCGGTTACATTCAACCAAGGAGTCAAAAACCCTGAGGAGTTTGCAACAATGCAGCAGCCACACACAAGTATGAAGGCGGCCAAAAACTGCCAACAGAACTCCTTTAGAAATCTGGAGGCAGGCAGCAGAGTACAGACATGAGAACTCTGCCAGAACAAAGCAGACCTGCCCATTCCCAGGCACTCTGAGCCTGCGGCTTTTCTCCAGGCCAAAAGCAATACTCCCTTTCCACTGAGCAATACTGCCTCCAACATTCCTGTTCGCTTGGTTCAATGCGCCCAGCGCAGATCCGTGCAGAATTAGCAGGCAGAGGATTTCCATTGAGGAGTGCGGATTTGTCTCGCACGTATAGTACATGCACGAGTATTCAGTACACGTGCACAAAGAATTTAAAATGGACGTCTGCTAGCATGGCTGAAATGCAAAAGTTGAGGCTGTAGGTTACGCAATACCCTTAATAGGGTGACATACTGTAGGTGAATGAAATGGAAAGACAAACCAATAGTCTTTAAAGGATGATCCTTATCACACAGCAATGCTACAGCTAAACTTGATTTGAACTAAATGCACAACCGTGTTTAGTCACCTAAGTTCTGTGAACTAAGACGGACAGTGTAGTAAAACCTAAAACTAGAGCACCAGTGAACGGACAACAGATTCCTAAGTTGTGCAGCCAAGCTCCTGAGTTTCTGTGAGTTAATATTTTTTAACCAGCTATAGAACAATTTCTCAATTTTTCCAGGAAAAACATCCAGGTTTACACACAGTTTTGAACACTGGGGAACAGTACATGAATATTATCCTCCATATAAGAAAATATACTGTGGTGCCCACTCATATACAGTACTGATTTTTTTAGTAACTGTTCACTGAACGATAGGACTAAGCTTTTACCTGCTCTCCATATAACCTCCACATGAAGTTCCAGATATAGCATGCGACTTAGTTATTTGTGGAAAAGACCTGAAGGAAATTAAATGCAATATATATATCAAATAAAAAGATTCACTCATGGATACATACAGATTTTCACCACAAAACGTTCTGCAAAATGACCCTACCACACTGATTTAGAAACCCGCTGGCTGAAATATTGGGGGGAAAAAGCATTTTTTGTTAAATTAAGCAGCATAAATATGCGAAAAATAAAAAGACTTCTTACATGCAGCTGTGAACTAAAGCACTATGCTTTATTTCAAAATTAACTTGGTAACAACAAATAAACTTTACTTGGCTATGAAAGAGCTGCCTCCTGGGCGTTAATTCAGCGGAATAATCCGGAATGTCACCCCTGACTCACATTAATGCAATACAAGGAGAAAAGGATTGTTTAGGTCTGCAAAAACACTTTTTGTGTCCCCCATCTCCTATCCCAGGAAACGCGAGAGGAAGCTCTCTAAACGTGTGATAGCAGCTAAAAGGAAGCAAAAAAGCAAAAGGGACAAGAAACGGAGGCAAGAAATTGGTTTAAAGTCAGCAAACAGAAAAATAAATATACTTTCTAGACACTTTTGTGTTTTAAATAGAATATTTATCATGTAAGGCGTAGCGGCAGGGGAATAGTTCTAATTGGAGTAGTGCTTTTTCCCAAGCCCTCTGGCCTGGAAAAAACAAACTGAAAACAGTTGCTAACTTGCATTGCATTTTTTGGAAATGCATAGGAAATTACTATTCGATTTCAACGTTAGACATGGCTTTCGTATATCACTGGACTCGGATTGTCTTTCTCCTCCTCGGAGAGCTCGCTCCCGTCGTCCTGGGTGCTCGGCTGGGGTTCGGGCGACTCCGCTGGCTCCGGTGGCAGTTCGGTGTCGGCCGGGATCTCGTACGCCGCGTCCTGGCTTGACAGCGGGTGCACCGACACTTCGATGGCGATGTGCCGCGGCTGCTCTTGCAGGGAGCCGTCGTCGGAGTCGGCGGCAGCGGCGGCGGCGGCAGACTCGCGCCGCAGCAGGCTGCTGGGGATGGTGTAGACGTCCGCCTCGCCCCCCGAACCGTCGCCGCCGCCGCTGCCGCCCCCCCCCGCCTCAGAGCCCTCGGGGGCCTGCTGGACGAAGGTGTGCCTCTGCTCCTCCACCCCCACCACCTCCAGGATCTCCTCCATGAAGGTCCGGCAGGTCATGATGAGCGGCGGCAGCGGCACGCTGCGGGCCAGCTCCTCGATGTAGCGGGCGAACTCCATGGTCTTGAACTGGGTGACCTTGGCCAGCTCCAGCGTTTTGGCCGAGGTGATGATGGGGATGCGCTTGGCGATCTCGAAGGCCTTCTGCAGCTTCTCGGCGCCCTCCGTCCTGAAGAAATCGTTGATGGCCTTCTCCGTCTTCTTCAGGTGGCTGCTCATCATGCAGAGCCGGGTGATGTTCAGGATCATGACGATGGTGAAGGCCACCAGGCATACGATCATGTAATACACGCCCATGTCCCCGTTGGTGAACACCACCCTCAGGGTCACGGTATAGTTCACACTGCCGTGGATGTTGGAAGCCATGCAGGTGTACTTCCCACGGTCTGCAAACGTGATGCTAGTGATGTTCAGAACACCGCTGTCCAAAATCCACCACTTTCCACCTAAAAGGAGGAGAGGAAAAGGGCATTATGAACTAAAAGCTTCTTTCAGAAAGCCACCTTTAGGTGAACTGTAAAGAACTGTATGAATAACAATAAACACCCAACTGCATGAACACCCAGCCAGGAATTAAGGCATGATGCTGCTTCCATTTCTGGACTCATTCTGGAGCTCAGACACTCAGTTTTTAAGATCATACAGGGAATATTAAGGTTTATCTCTTTTGTTTAATACTAATTTAAATTGAATGCATTTTGGAAACTTTGCAAGAGGAGATTCTACACCTTATATCCACTAGAAATTAATCATTAGGCATGGAATAAAATCCTAGGCCAATTTGAAGAATCGAATGGGCTAGGAGTGTTCACAATCCAGGTGGATGAAGGTGTCATGAACATAAGGGTCTGTGGCTATATTCTTAAATGTTTTTAAGTGAGAAAGACTATCGGTCGCGTTATGTAATGTTTACAGCACAGTAAAGGAAATACAACCTGACCACAGACACAGTCAAGCACATTTGTTACAAATCTAGGATTCATAACTTTTCACCTGAGGCGTTTCACCTCAAAGCAGTACTGAGCTACGTTTTACAAAACAAAATATTAATACTATTATAGATGCTCGGGTTCTCCCACAAAGCAAGAAGTACACAGCGTTTACACTTTATTTATCCACTGAGCCTCCAATTAGCATGGAAATATTCAAGCAGGAGGCTGTCCAACCAGTACCACTGAAATCCAGCAGGGCTTCTTTTCTGCCTGAGCAGCTGTGTTTACAAAGATGTGCAGCAGCATTTAATTCTCTGAGGTGGGGTCTCACAGCAGTCACACCAGCACCCAGCATTTGCTTTGTAAATGTTTAACTCTGCAGATGGCAGCCCACTGTGCAGTGAGCAAGTGGATAAAGAAACAGAAACACAAAAACAGATCTTCTGTATACAATGCAAAAGCTCAGGAGGCATCCGTAAGCACGCCTTTGTCAAGGATTCAGCGCTTGAATGTAAATCTGTAATGTTTCCAATCGTAATCAAAGATTGCCGAACCACAAGAGCTACAGCTCGCATTGATTTCCTCTCTTCGCCTTGGACTTTATAAAGTTGCTCTGCTGGCATTTCAGGGGGCAGTACCCTCAGGTGGATAAGAAAGTAACAAGGTTATAATAATAAATAATAATAATTGCTTACAGTTATACAGTGTTTTTCTGGACACTCCACTCAAAGCGCTTTACAGGTAATGGGGACTTCCCCTCCACCACCACCAATGTGCAGCATCCACCTGGATGATGCGATGGCAGCCAACGCTCACCACACATCAGCTATCAGTGTGGAGGAGAGCAGAGTAATGAAGCCAATTCATAGAGGGGGGTTATTAGGAGGCCATGATTGGTAAGGGCCAATGGGAAATTTGGCAGAGACAGAGAGTCAGGACCTCGGTTTTACGTCTCATCCGAAGGACGGCGCCTGTTTACAGTATAGTGTCCCCGTCACTATACTGGGGCATTAGAACCCACATGAGCCGCAGGGTGAGCGCCCCCTGCTGGCCCCACTAACACCTCTTCCAGCAGCAACCTTAGTTCTTCCCAGGAGGTCTCCCATCCAGGTACTGACCAGGCTCACACCTGCTTAGCTTCAGTGGGTTGCCAGTTGTGAGTTGCAGGGTGATATGGCTGCTGGCTAGGTTAGATCTCATCGAGTTAATTATTTTAGTAGCTTGCTCGTTTATGAGGCCTGAATTAAAAACTTGTTAAATTTGTAACACAAATACCACTCCTTTAATCATTAATATTAACTGGTTCAACCATTTAAAAAAAATGAATGTTTTTAGTATGCAAGTAGAGCCTATGAACCTCAACGGCCTTCATGACTTGAAGGAAACAAGGCAAAGGTTGGTTATATAAGGCTGGTGTGGATGGACATCTCATAGACGTGGCTATCATATCAAACGCAGTCACGTGAAGCTGATCAACAAGCTATTAGCACAAATGGCAAAACTGTGAATCTAACCAGGTGGAAAGTTTCACCAAAAGTAAAATTTCCTTTTTAAAGATGCACTTCTCATATCTAAATTCTAAATTCCACGATTTGAAGAAAGTGAAGGGCTTCTTGACAAGGATGATGCATTCAAAAGCCACAGTTACAAAAGTAAAAACTCCCAAATTACCAATTCTGGTACCTACGGTACCTTCTCTGAATTATAAGTATAAAAGTTTGTCAAGGACCTTATTTCATTAACCTACGTAGGACCATGTTTATCAACACATAAAATACTACCACGGAGACAGAATGATAATTCAGTGTTGTGTCTGATGGACTGCTTTATTTTTTGGAGAACTAAGGTCAGTTTGGCCCATGTACATTCATAACAAGTAATAGTTCATAACTATTAACAAGTATAAAGGTCCATTAGATAAAGCAGAAAATGTATAAAATATTTTCACTTAATACAGTTACATTCCAATCAAAGGTTATAATGTGGATGACAAATTCAAACAAAGAACTTGAAATCTGCTAATGAAATTTACCACGTAAGCTGACCAGAATGACTTTGCTGTCGCATACTGTACCTAGTCATTAGCATCTTCTATTTGGAAGTGAAATCTGAGTCACCCCATTATCATACTGGCAGAGTGCAACATGTTCGCACACTTGAAAGAGGTCAAGTACTTTTATATACGCACAGGAAATGATCAGGCACAATGAATCTCTTTAAAAGGGATACTGTACATTTAAAACACATCCATAAAAGATTAGATATAAGATTAAAACGTCTTACTTTTGAAATTAGAATCCGACTCTGCAAAATTGGGATATTTTGAAGAAAAACTAATGATGATAATTACACTATTTAAAAGAGCTGGATTAGAAATCCTTGAGATAGAGTCCAGATTGCTACATAGCACTGTGATGTTCACTTCTTCTATAACACATTACTACCCACATCCATGTTTATACCTTTACTAAATAGAAGAATCCCTCAATGAGCGATTCTTAAAAGTCTACCGAGACTAGAACATCTACTGTACAGGACATGTGCTGGATAATACCGTGAGTACTGATGTGTGAAGACAGAAACCAGTACACGACGTCTGTGTACCTGACCTTTGTCTTCACACTACAGCAAGGCTCTCTGCAGAGGAAGGCCATTAAGGCAAAGGCAAACCAGCTCCAGTTTACAATTTGATTAAATTTCTCTTGAAATACGAACAGCGCAACCTGTTGTGCTTTGTGACAAATAATAGCTGCCTCCCACGAGTACATGTGTAGGAGGATGCTGGCTGTCAGCCTTGGTTCGTGGCCAAAGACGCAGAAGACAAGGGGGCTGAACTGGCAGCAATTACTCCTTCACTAAATCCGAAACGGGGAGAGCCGCCGTTTTTCAAAGGCTTTTCGTTCGAATATGAATTAAATTTTAAATGTATCCCCACCCCACCCCCTTTTCTGTCAATGTAGAAGAGGAGCTGGTGCAAACAAGTAAGTCTTCCATCCTTGCAAGCTGAGTGGGGGGCTTACACTGTATATCCAAATCTAGACAGAAGAGGAAGAGAGCTGCTCTAAACTTGTATTAAAGAACAGAAAAATTAACAGCAAATATAGCAAAAAAAAAAAGCTTCTAAACAATTTATTACAGGCTTTTATTGAATAGAGAGAAAAGAAATAGAGAAGGCTGACACAAGGAATTACTTTCTGGATGCAGATCAAGATTGGCTGCTATTATTTAACCTCTTGCAATAATAAATCACAGGCAGAACAGTCCAGACTGAAAGCAGCCTTCTGAGAATAGCACAGTACCTGAACTCTTCAGAGAAAAACAGCTGATGGAAATTAATAATATACTCTATTCTACAGACGCCTCAGCACCGCCTGTGTAATATGTTAACACTGTCTACTGTTTACTGCAAAACGTTAACAGCTCTGTACACAGACTTAACAGCCGACAGAAACACACGAGTCATACTAAGAAGCGAGGAAAAAATGAAAACGAATGAAGTATAAACGAAAAACAAAAGCTTTACTAACAACGACTTCACACCGAAGTATTGTAGATAATTCAGTGGCTAATAAACAAATTGCTTTCTAAGCAAAAGGGAACTTAACCTTGGAGTTGTGACATCAGTTTCACAAACAAACACCACAACAGAGCCCCGGGGCTAAATTTAATCTTCAATAAAAACATAGAGTCTGAGTGAAGCAGATGAGTACTTCTACTCTCTGCCCCCCTCAGAAAAAAACCCAACTAAACTATATGGAAAGTCACGTCAGAATCAGCCAGTAACTTTAAAGCTTCCTCGCTTTAGGGAAATCAGTAGGAAAATCATGAGTGCACTCGTATCTTGGTTCAGCTGATAGAGCTGCTGCCACACAGCTCCTGGATTCTGGGTTTGATTCCATACTGGGGTGCCCTCTGTGTGGAGTCTGCATGTTGCCTGGAAAATTGGGTGCTCTCCTCGGCTTGCTCTGGGTCCCGCCTCCTGAAGACATGCTGGCTGAGTTCGATTCGTTCGCCTCAATCTTCCCTCTCTCTGTGGCCCTGTGGTGGACTGGCATCCCATCCAGGGCGAGAACAGTCCTACCCTGCGCCCTGTGTTTTGGGATAAACTCCGGATTTGTTGCGACCCTCACCAGGACAAAGAGCCTTTCTCATAAGAGTCTGGTGGACGAACACCTGGCAGACAGACTCAATGCCACTGAGCCGATAGTTAAGAAAGAAAAGGCTTTTTGTGTGTTCAGTTTAGTGTTCATCTTTAGATGTTACCAGCTACAGCGCAATGATACCAAGGAACACAATCTGTTTAAGAAAAACTGGAACACAAACCAATAACATCATAATCTTAAAAAACATGGTATGCCTACAGCCAAATGACTAAGGGAACATTTCTGGGTTTCTACAAAAGACTCAAATTCAGCAAGAGTAAACACTGCTATTTGGGAGAATTAAATTAAGAATTTGGATGTCTTCTGCAGAGTGCCAAGCTTCTTGGCAAACTTTGCTAGAGTAGCAACAAATGTTAAATGGGAGTTTTGCAGACTGTAAAAGGGCAGAGAGGTGTCTATGAGTGGGTCTGAGACTTGAAGTCTGATTCCCCTAATGACATGCTCACACATCAGGATCTCTTGAGACTTATTATAAGAGAGAAGATCACTTTATTGGCCATATACAATTTCTTGTATTAGGAATCTTTTTTGCATACCCCAACTTGTTCTGCATGAGACACACAGACAGGGAGAGAAGGCTGGGGTCAGAGCACAGGGGCAGCCATTTATACGGTGCCCCTGGAGCAGTTGGGGTTAAGGGCCTTGCTCAGGGGCCCAACGGAGTAGGATTCCTCTGCCGGCCGCGGGATACGAACCGGCAGCCTTCCAGCCACAGGCGCAGATCCTTAGTCACAGAGTCATTAGTTGTGCAAACAATTCCGACAAAGCAGCACAAATGATTCACCAAACATCAATGTGCAAAAGTCAGTATTATTTCACTTTTAGCAATATCACACCTCAGAGACAGGCCATAATGGACTTGTGACTGCTGTAGCAAGACAAAAAAAAAAAGGAATTTCAGATTTTCTGAATTCCCCATTTTTTTGCTTGAGAAGGTTCAATCAAAAGTGTAATGCAAAGTATGTACAGGATCTGATTTACTTAAAGGAAGAGGTATCAACAGGGTTGAGGGGTGGGAGGCTCAGAAATAGCGTGGAAAAACAGACTTAATCAAAGATTAAAAATTAGATAAAATTAAATTAATGTTAATCTAGTCTAAAATGGGGATCCAAACTTTCCTTTTTGCTCCCTTCCACCTCCAAGCATTTAATGAAGAAAAAGCCCAAATGACTTCCAATAATCTTCTCCAGCAAGGACACAACCTGACAATTCCTCATCTTCTTGGCTCCACCAGACCTCTGAAACCCCATTCTCTTGTGCAATGAATAAAAATTCTTTTTGAGATTTTGTTTCAAAAGCATTGACCCTAACAAGTGTTGGGCCACTCTCTGATATTTGCGGTGTAGAAATTATACAGGACGGCTCCTGCAACACCGAGCATGTGAAATCCATTTCATTATGTTATTTAATTGCTATTAACACCCACTTAATAGGGCATTGTTTGCATACTGTAATTATCAAGACTAGCTGTGAGTTATTAAAAGTAGATTGTGACATGTCTGTTGGTCTTTTATGCTGAAAATGTATTGTTCTTTTTTTTTAACCATGTTTGAGAGGAAATGAGACCTGAACACAATAAGAACAAGCACTTACGGTTTAATTACCTGTCGGCATCTAAACATTTACAAAAAAGCTGAACTATAAATGAAAAGCTGTGCATAATTCACTCTTTTATAGAATGACAGCACAAAGATGTCGTACCTTTGTTTTTTATTCATACAATTTATTCTCAATTCTCACTCATTGGAAAACCATTCGTTTTTCCGTCAGTCCTTGAATATACTGATAGTGTTTTATGCACAAGGCATTAAAATGTAGTATAGCTGCATTTTCTCCCGTTCCATTCGGTCTTCGCTGCTAAATAAAAGTGCCTAAAAACATGCTCACTGAAGATGTTTTTAATGTGTGACAGCACAGACCACTTCGAGCCTGGGTGGGGTAAATATTTCAGGTTTGACTTGCAATTCGGAAATCATTATGCACGAACGTACACGTCTGTGTCGGAGACTGCAGGAGGAAGCACGCAACTTACCGCTCGCTTCCGTGTCCAACAAGTTGCCATTGGAGTTGTACCACTGAAAACGTGGGAGGGGGTCTCCGGTTGCATTGCAGTCTATGAGGACGCTGTTTCCTTCCCTGGCGATGATCTGGCTAATCGTGGAGAGCAGGAAGGGGACAGAGCCCGTCCCCGACACAGTCTGGTTGTGCGCGCCGCCGACGCCGCGGGGAGCAGGAGTCGCCGCCAGGGCCGCTTTCAAGGCGACGGCGGACACGAGCGCCAGGAGCGCGTATCTCTTCCGTCCGTCCATGTTCCTCTCCGGTGCGCCCGTCCCCCCAAGCCCGCTTGCCAGCAGATGTCAATTCACATGTGTCACCATGTCACCCTCGGAAGAGAATTATCTGTGCGACGCCACGCCAGAACTCAGTCTGGCGATCTTGCCCGTTGGCGAAACCATCGTCCTACAGCAAAAAACACAACAAGAGACAGTCGCGTTTAAACCCGCCTGGGTGTTCGTCATGGGACGCCCGTTAGACAACTCATCCGGCCTCCGTAACGTTTTCTGTGAGGGCAAAAAAAAAAAAGACTGCCGCAGTATTTTCAGTTGTATAACTGAACTTCAGTGTCCTGTTTCCGTAGGTCCGCTTTCCGCGACATAGCGGACAGGACGACGCCATCCACCGCAGAATAAAACCAGCAACCAGGACTGTCGCCTTTACACAAAAACTGCCCAGCAGGCAAAACGTTTGAATCACATACATCTTAACGGCACTGATTAATTCGGTTTATAAAGCATTAAGATCCCTATTTTATGTATACAACAGATACCCCCCCTTCTATATTATCACTATCATTAGGTAATGTAATTAAATGGCTTCAAATGTAACTTGAGTTCTCCGGGAACGACTTCTGTTACTTGCCCACCAACCCGCTGTACCAAAAGCAACGCTGTGCGAAAACAAGACGCAGTATTTCAAGGTCTTCTCAACTACGAAACACGAAAACAATCAAATACACGACAGAATACATCTCCAAGGTTATACTTGTTGTTCACTTAGGAGCAACCGTATTAAGTCGTCCAAACTGCACCTGGCTCCGTGTTTATTTATTTTTTCAAACCAAACACGTCGTGGTGACTTTTACTTCTCTGCCCGGAAAACTGAACAGCGTTCATGCCTCCCCCCACCTCTCTATTACTGTCTGCTCCCGCTATGTGTACCACATCCGTAACTTGCATAACATCAGAAGTAAAGAGTCAAGTTCGGTGTACTTACGAAACGTCTGTCCCGTTTTACCGCAAACGGAAGAACCGAGTCTGTGCTCGATAACCCTAAAATCAATCTGAGAACAAAGTGAGGCGAGAGAGAGAGAGGGGGAGAAAAAACCCCACTCGGTTTAAAACATTTAGGAACCCCAGTCCATCCCGCACTCAGCCCTCTCTCGCACACGTCAGGCTC